TGAGCAGGGAGCCTGATGCGGGGCTCGATCCCAGGACCCTGGGATCATGACCTGAGCCGAAGGCAGATGCTTAACGACTGAGCCAGCCAGGTGCCCCGGGAAGATTATTTTCCCGAGAAAATGTTCAGTGTCTTCATTGGCACTTCGAACAGAGCTGGACTGCTCCAGAGGATCACACCAGTTTCGCTCACATGAGTCAAAGGTCTGTTAGCTTTTTATTTTCCATTTTCCCTCAGAGAAGGAGGAAAGTACTAAGAACAATTTGCACTAATAAACTCTTCTAAAAAACCTGAGAGTATGAGCATTTTCCCAACTCTAGATATTCTCCCTAGCACAACTGGATTCCCCGGATAAGTGAGAAATAAACCCTGATCAATTCTTACTAGATTCATGTGATGTTTTAAAACTTGATTTAGCACTTTGAAGTACAGAAGTGTCAGGGGATGTGTAGTTTACTAAAATACCACACATTCTAGTCCATTCAACAATCCACAGGGGCTGGGCGCCTGGGTGGCTCTGTTGGTTAAATGTCTGCCTTTGGCTCAGGTAATGATCCCAGGGTCCTCGGATCCAGTCCAGCACTGGGCTCCCTGCTCAGCGGGTAGTCTGCTTCTCACTCTCCCTCTGCTTTCTCTCTCTCTCAAATAAATAAATAAAATCTTAAAAAAAAATGCTAATTACAAAAAATGAAAGAATATTCATGGAAGCCTTAAAAATATTCAGTTATATAAATATATTATTAAATTTTTACATATGTGTGATTTGCAGTCTTAATGTTTATTGTGCTTGACTTGCAATAGATTCTATGACTAAAGGCACTGTGCTATGGCCAAAGATGCCAAATGACATTTTTGAGTCTGTGTTAAATATGTGAAGTTTCCACAAATGCCTAGAGGTCTAAAATGTTTCCTAAAGAGGCAGAAGGTCAGTCAATGTGATAAGGGAAAGAGAGACTTCCATTTTCCTTGAGAGCTCACTGAGCAGAAACCAACAGGCACAGAGGCAGCAGTCTCATTAAAATGGCTGGGATGCATTCACTTTGCCATTTGAAGGAATTCAGCAGTACAGAGGAGAGCTACAGAAGCAAAAATGCTTAAGTGCACACAAGAAAGTCTCATTTGCTTTGGGAATGGTTTGCTTTTCTTGTTTGGAAAGGAAGAAGTCTCTAGGATGTCCACCTTCCACAACAAAGCAGAGCTTGATAAATTCCCATCATCTGGGAAGTAGAGCCTCCTTTTGCTGATGTGGCTGTCTGCAGATCTCCCAGGTGTAAAAAGAGGTGAAAAAAGGTCATCAGATATATAGGTAGATCGGCTGTGATCTCAAGAGGCTTGAAGTACTGGGGGAATGCAAAACCGTTTAGGGATAAAGCTGGCCTTTGTGTCTCTAATTTCAATGATTAAAAAAAAAATTTTTTTTTAAATCCATCTATTAAGTGTGAATAAATCCCTGAATTCTGCTGTGCCCGGTCCTCGCAGCTCCAAATGCCTGAAATAGGAACAGTGGTGGTGTGAATTAGTTGGCCTAAGCTCTTGGGCTGCTTCCAACTTCGCTATTGCTCATGCCCCACAGGTCAAGGAAAGAAGTGATGTAATGCACTTAGCTGGGCCACTTTAATTACAATGCAATGGAGAGGGGGAGGGGTTATAGGCGGTGACAAGTTTCGCGCATGACTTGCCCTAGGGATGCAGGAAACAAAAACATGGACAACCATTGGCTGCGTCCACTTCCGACCGGGTATCTAGCTGCTAGTCTGGAACCTTGAAACACTTATTTCCTGGGAAGGGGGGTGGCGCTAGCCTACAGAGCGTCAACCATAAACACACAGCGCGCGCACACACACACACACACACACACACCCACACCCACGGAGCCTGGCAGCGTCCTCTCTGCTGAAATGGGCGTGGGGCCGAGTGCTTGGCCCACGGTCCCCAGAAGGTTGCTCCAAAGCCGGCCGCAGCAGCTGGGCTCGGCGCTGGGAGCCCGCGGAGGACCCGCGTGCGCGGAAACTGGTGTCACCCGGGCCCGCTCCCAGTGAGCCGCGCTCGCGTCATTCATTCGCAGCGTCCGGAGCGCCCTTCCAGCGGCGAGCTGGGCTTCGCTGCGTGTGCCAGTGGCCCCGACGGGGAGTGTTACCGCGCGGTGACCTCGAGGGCGCGGAGCGGCTAGAGACGGAGGCGGCCCGGAGCTCGGCTCGGTGCTGCGGGAGCAGCCGCGCCCCAGCCCAGCTC